CCCCGAGGCTGAGTCAAAGGAGAAGCCGGTGGCCAAGTGTGCAAACCTCCGGGCTCCACAGGGCTCTTCCTTCCGCCCCAAATCTGGCACACCTTTGTTGCACACCTGCATGGTGGGAGATATAGTATATCCATGGGGGCAGATATAGTATAAAGAGGGTCAAGCCTGGGGTGTCTCCAGGATGCATGGCCTCCCTACAGATGACCTTTTGCACAGCCAGAAAAGCACACCTGCAAAGAGAGACTTTGCATGGGAAGTTGGGTCTGGGCCGCCTAAGACTTTTTGCTGCCAGAGGCTGCTGCCCCCCCCTTTAAGTTGAGCAATCCATATTTGGAAGTAAACTGCCCCTAAACATGGAGGGTTTCTCCACCCTTCCTGCCACTTGTAGGCCTTTCATCCTCCATGGTTCTGGCCTGCGCATCTACTCTTCCCATTTGTGGAATATGATGGGAGCTTGGAAAAGTGACATTTTGGGCTAGTTGGTGTCCTGCACTGGGGTAGTAATTATTCTGGTAGCAGCCATGAAGGTGAGGCCAAAGATTTGGCGAAAGAGGATTCCTGCCTGGTTAATGCAATAAGGGTTTTCCCCAAGTACCATGGTAGGATCAGCCAGGGTTAAAATTGCAATTGCCACTTTGAGGGGGACCCTGTGCCGTCCTTGGGGCATTTTGCCTCCCTCTTAATGCCAACTGGAATGCTTATCCAGATAATTTTTAAACTGGGAATTTTAAATGATTAATTTTTAAAAGTGGATCTTTTAAATATGGGTATATGTTATTTGCCATTTGAAATTGATGTGAATGTTTTTATTTGCTTATTGTTGTTATTCTCCACCTCCGTCCATGCAGAGAGGTGGGTAATTAATAATAATAATAATAATAATAATAATAAAATTAATAATAATCTGTACGAAATGTAGGACAATCGTACATGCATCCAACAAAGTGAAATCACAAATGCTTCGGTCACTATAAATTTGACAATTTTTAATAAGAAGATGGACAAAGTGTCGACTGCCTGATGTTGCTAGATCACAATTCCCAGCATTCTTCACCTTTCCTTGCTGGGGTGACTGGGAGTTGTAGTTTGGTGGCACCTGGGGAGGGCACACTCTGTCCGCCCTGGCTTCAGAAGTGGACAGAGGCAGCTGCTGACCACTTGAGGACCCATCCTTGGAAAAGGCCTGCCTCAAAAGTGCCCCAAGGCCCAATTGCAAATCCCATCTTCCAGTGCAATGAGGAAGGATCCCTCTTTGACCTGGGCCACCTCTTTGCCTCCTCTAGTTGGCCCATGCGCAAGAAAAGCCTCAGTCACAGTAAATCAATGCTGCTTTTCACATTGGAGGAAGAGCAGCGGGTTGAAAAGAGAGAGAGGGCATTTTTTCCATGGGTGGTGGAGAAGAACTGAAATAGTCTGAAAGAGTAAAACAAAAACCCAGAGCAGGAAATGGTGAGAAAGTGGGTCTCGACAGGTTCAAACGGAAATCAAAGTGGCAGAGCAGTGCCATAAAGTGGCACCGCAGGGACACACCAACATTATCTGCCCCCAGCAACAGAGGCAGGGAGGGTTGCCAGAAGCAGTGCATCAAACACACACAGCTGTGACAGAATAACTTCCTAGGTTGCACCATAGTTTCATTATATTCCAGAGCAGGGGTAGGCAACCTAAGGCCCGGGGGCCGGATGCGGCCCCCTGAGGCCTTTGGACCGGCCCCAAGCTGGTCCTGCCGCTGCTGCAACCCCCCACCGCCCACCATGATGATATTGATTATTGTTGTTATTACTTGTTCTTGGGGTTTTCTTGGCAAAATCTCCACAGGGGTTTTGCCATGGCTTTTCTGGGGCTGAGAGAGTGTGCATGGATATATTTTTTTAAATTTTAATTTTTTAAAAAAATATTTTTATATTTATTTATTTATTTATTTATTTTTGGTGCTTCGGCCCCCCAATTGTCTGAGGGACAGCAACCCGGCCCCCGGCTTAAAAAGGGTGCCTACCCCTGTTCCAGAGGATAGGATCGAAAGGACCTCAATAGGCCAGAATTTAATGCCAACAGGGAGAAATGTGGATATGGCATTTTAAAAATTAAATGGGAAGATATAGGACTGGCAACACTTGGCTTGAAGGCAGTCATGCCAAAGGGATCTAGGAGTATCAGTGGATCACAAGTGGAATGTGAGCCAAGGGGGTGATGCAGCTGCTAAAAAGGCAAATGAGATTCTAGGCTGCATCAATAGAGGTATAGTATCTGGATCGAGGAAAGTAATATTACCACTCTATTCTGTTTTGGTCAGGCCTCACCTTGTATACTGTATCCATTTCTGGGCATCTCCTGCATTAGACTGGATGACCCCTGGAGATCCTTCCAACTGGATATAACCGGCAATCCACAGTTCGCACCAGGGGTAGGCAACCTAAGGCCCAGGGGCTAGAT